TTGAGAAAGAGACATTAGGTGTTTTGCTAGCTTTGTGGCATTTTGAAGTGTACCTAGGTGCCACTACTTTTCCAATTGAAGTGTTTAATTATCACAATCCCTTGACTTTTCTTCATAAAATGAAGAACAATAATCAAAGTCTTATGAGGTGGAGTTTGACCTTGCAAGGGTTCAATCTTGTGATTAGACACATAAAAAGCAAAGTAATTCTGCAAGATGTTTCTCATGTTATTCATATTATTACATGTCATCTTATTACGTTAGTTATCTTGCTATGATTGTAACAGAAAATGTCTGTGAAACTTTCTTTTCCTTAAGGGGGAGAGTGTTACGAGAGTGTTTTTTTTTGTAATTTGTAAGAACATTCATTAAGTGATAGTTATTATGGGTCACAATGTTTAAAGTTTTGAGAGTGGGTTGCGGCTCACATCTTGCATCATGTATGTTTAATGGCAATAGTATTTTGTTAGCGGTACACCTTTTTGATAGCGCTCCAGAGTTGCCTCCCTTATTTTTGTTTTGAATCCCGGTCTTATGTTCGAGAAAAACAGCCGAATGTTCTGAGTGGATAATGATGCTGCCTACCTTTGCTAGACTGTTCAAGAACTGTGTAAGAGCTATGTAAAGGCTGTTTTTTTGCGTTGTGCGACGGGACTTATCATATCACTGGATTTATATACATTTGTCTGCCATCGTTAACCTACATGTCAAGACTGACTGTGCTCGTCTATATTCAACATATGTCATTGTAAACAACCTTCATTCAGTATATCTGCTCTCTCTGTAAATGTCAAGACTCTGGTGAGTTAATATTTTATATTTGTGACCCATTACTTTTGTGACTCAATTGCATTGTACTAGATATCTGTATTGTCATTCATTGTAGCTTGCTCATTGTTTGTTCAATATATTATTGAATATTTTAGACTTGTCTGTGTTATATTTTGCTGGTTCAAAAGGGACTCTTAAACTTTTGTCACGGCAATTGTTTAACCGTAACAAGTTTTAAGAAAAAGATATAATGTTCACAATGTTCCGTTCATTGTTGCAAACATGGAAATATTCTACAAATGAAACCCTTCAGCAAATATAACTGATTAGTGATCAAAAAAGGGATGCATGTGGCAATACAGCGAGCAGGAGCAGCGTCGTTGCAGATGGTGATTCGGGACCCCAAGTGTGGATGAGTTGGAAAAACTGCTAATTCCGGATAGCAGGTGCAGGTTGTGTCCTTTTCCTCGGAACTTGCCAGTTGGAGCATGTGGGTGAAGAATAAAGCTGAAGGGCAATGGGTGACTTAATAAACTGAAAGGATTGGTGCAAGATTGTTAGCATATGTTATAATAGCTATCGTACCTGTGGTTCTGATTTGCTGAATATAACGCATCCGGAAACAACAACCTCTGATTTATTCGATTATATTTTGTGTTCAACAAAAACACAAACTATGTACATATCCAAAGGAGAGGAATCATCTCATAGGCTAACAACACGCCCCAATCATAATAGTCATAATAAACGCCCGGTGATTCAAACCTCGCAGCCTCCTTAAAATGTACATATAAATATATCTAAATGTTTCTCACCGTTGCTTCGCATGTCATAAAAACAGAAGTGAAAATATACTGGACTATTAACAATCTAGTGGATGTGACATACTTCAGTTTAGAAGCACACTTGTGACGCTGTCAATGAATGTATGTATGTATGTATGTATGTATGTATGTATGTATGTATGTATGTATGTATGTATGTATGTATGTATGTATGTATGTATGTATGTATGTATGTATGTATGTATGTATGTATGTATGTATGTATGTATGTATGTATGTATGTATGTATGTATGTATGTATGTATGTATGTATGTATGTATGTATGTATGTATGTATGTATGTATGTATGTATGTATGTATGTATGTGTATGCATGAAGAAGATTTAGAAGAAGATATTTGGCATCTTGAAACGGCGTGACCAAAAGTTTCCAGTTTGTTTACATCCAATGTTTGTTGGGGGCTGTGGGGTAGCCTAGTGATTAAAGCGTTCGCTCGTCATGCCGAAGACCCGGGTTCGATTCCCCACATGGGTACACTGTGTGAAGCCCATTTGTGGTGTCCCCGCCGTGATATTGCTGGAATAATGCTGAAAGCGGCGTAAAACCAAACTCACTCACTCACTACATTGTTTGCACTGACTGTCTTATGTGCTCTTTGGCAGAGGATTTTATTAGAATGAGGGAGACAGTGGGTCTTTATAACAGCTGCTTTAGTTTCTGCTTAGGTTCGTATGTTACCGGGCGGTGGGGTAGCCTAGTGGTTAAAGCGTTGGCTCGTCACGCCGAAGGCCCGGGTTCGATTCTCCACAGGGGTACAATGTGTGAAGCCCATTTCTGGTGTTTCCCGCCGTGATATTGCTGGAATATTGCTAAAAGAGGCGTTAAACCATACTTAGTCAGTCGTGTGTTACCGCAATGCCATCAATCGGGTAAAAAGTCTGATCAGTGACAAATATCTACACAGTGTAGAAATATCAATAAAACAGTCAACATGATGTTTTGGGGATATGCGCTCCCATGCGTCTCCCATGCCAATTACTTTGTTTGCTTCAACCGCATGATACATTCTTTGGCAGAAAATGAGGTATCACAAGCGGAGAAAAAGAACTTGTATATTTGTTAAGTTTCCCTTTTATTGCCTTCGTGTTCGTGCCACATACTCCAGGATAATCCATGAACACACACACACGGATGGATGATGGATGGATTGATGGATTGATGGATGAATGGATGAATGGATGAATGAGGAGATGGATGGATGGGCCCATAAAACGTGTCAAGAATTTAGATTCTTTGTGTAACAGTATCTTATAATATCAATACAGGGAATAATGAAGGAACGCACTTTATTAATAACGTCTATTCACATTGAAATAAAATAGGGCAATCAGTGGTAATCCACATACATATTCACACAAACACACAGAGACCAATCGACAGATGTCTATTCACTTTAAGCAGTTACAAAGAAACAGAACATTTTATGAGTGGTTAATGTACATTAGGTATGAGTGAGTGAAGGACTGTGAGAAAATGAATAGTTCTTCATAAACAGCAAGGTAAATACTACAGACTTAATCAAAACAGTCAGAAGTACATACATTAAGAAGTACAGAGAAAATGATCAAAACATCCCTAATGTACTGTTTGCCTTGAGGAACATACATGACAACGATCTTGTTCTGAAGGTCACCAAGAACTGCTGAGACACACAAACACGGAAAACAAATATGTATCAGTTGCTTTAAGATTGGAAATTTCATGTCATACGTGTTGATGCGGAAAATCGGAATTACACTGAAAATATTACATGTCACAGATATTCTGAACAAACCTGAGTCAGATAAAATTCAGGCCCGTTTTATAGCAATGCTTTGACATTGTGCAAACTGAGTGCTTTTTTTAAATTGAGCCTCTTGAAGGTTGAAAAACGTAGCTACGACTTTATCGATAACACATTCTTGTTCACTGGATATCTTATCCAATAAGTGTCCTCGTTATTGACTGTCCAGTTTCTTGCATGGAAATCAAACATTTAGCAAACAAACCAGAACGGATCTATGTGCAATCGTTCAAATAGGATTGCAGCAGTTTGTGTCTTTGTGAAGATGTTTCAGAAAGCAATCAATATTTTTTAAAATATTTATGTTAGTATTTTGCCGAATATTTGGTATTACTCCCTCAAACCTTTTACGGCCCATTCAGATCAATAGCATCAACGACAACAAAGATTACTTAAAATCAGTCGATATCACTTTTGCACGTATTGGAGATTATTGCCTAAAGTGTTTGAGGATGTTTTTGTTCAGAAGATTTAAAAGGGTGTGAGGTTGCGAGATGGATATTCAATATACATGTATGATCATAAAGTGAGCGAGTGAGTGAGTTTCCGTTTTACGCCGCTTTTAGAAATATTCCAGCAATATCACGACGAGGAGACACCGGAAATGTGCTTCACACATTGTGCACATGTGGGGAATCGAACCCGAGTCTTCGGGGTGACGAAAGAACGCTTTACTACAAGGCTACCCATGAGACAGTGAGACCTTGAACATGTAGAGTTTGATTGTTAATGTTTGACGCTGTATTCAGCAATATTTCAGCTGCATGTTTGGGTCAAACAATCCGGTGATCATGGTCATCGATCTATAAAACTGCGATTGAACATTTAGAAAGATAATACAAGTAATACAATGGTTGTACATAAAGGGACAAACATTTTCCATAGTCAAAAGACTCTTTGCAAAGAACAAGAATCGATTTCACGAAATTGACTATATCGTCAGTATGTGTTCACTATCAGTGACGATGAGTTATAATCAAATACTAATAAAACCAGATATTCGCGAAAAAGTGAACGTATTCTGTCCAACTGGTATCAAATGCCACAAGGACATGGAACGAATTATTGATTGTTTACCCGAATAAACATGAGAAAATAATACGGTAAAAGCCAAAGTTATCAGATATCAGCTTCACACATGTTTATGTCAAATTTGAAATATCATCCACATGTCTACCACAAAGCGTTTTCAGAGTTATGGTGCTGTGTGGTTCTGTGCGTAGGGCTCGGATCACAAATCAGTTGAAGCTAAGCAACGTTGGGCGCGGAGAGTCCTTGGATGGGTGGTCGTGTTTGACTCTTGAGAGTTTCTAGGACTTCAGTTCTGCCCCACAATGAAGCACATGTGATCTCACCTTAGGCAAGTGAGTTTGTTCAAACTTGCATCTGTTCACCCAGCAAAAAAGGTACTCGGTGGGATAATTCATGTGACTATTAACCTTCCGCCTCACAGACAGCTTGGGTTATCCGGGATAATAATAATCAGCACTTGGAGCACTTGGTAGCACGGGGATCGGAGCGTTCCCCTCCGTGGTGCGGACTTCATCCGGGATAATAATAATCAGATTACCAACAAATTCAGCGCATTACAAATGCCCTTATTATTATTAAACCACGAATATTGTAATCCTGATCTATCTCCTGAGTCGTAAATTTTCTTTGAAATTTCCGCACAAATAGCATATTCGATGGAGCCTAGAAATTAAGTTGTCATCAACAAAGGTCAGAGCTACTGGAATACTGCTCAAAATGATGAGAAAGGTGAAAGTCTTGTGGGGAATTTTCGTGACATTGGTAGACCTTAATATGATCAAATTTAACAGTATCCCAGTGGAATCGAATCTGTGTCTTTGTTGGTTGCTTCGTGATGAAGATATCCGTCCAGATCTATAAGGGGAATCTTTCTGATCCGAAATCATAGGATCGAACTGTTATTGGATATCTCAGGCGTGCTTTTCGTGTTTATTCCATCAATCTTCAGTCCTATTCGGCAGTCAGAAACATACTTATGCTTATTGCACTGTAGTTCATTGTGTGAGGCCAGGACAGTTGAGTGGGGTCCGACGTCTTGTATTGAACTGATGGAGGTTGTGGCTGCCCTGTGGGATTGTAGCCGTCACATGTGGTGAACCAAAACCCAGACTGGTGGATACTTGCACAGTTGTCACCGCTGTCGTTGTCGTTGTCGACATCGTAAGTCGAAAATCGAACTCCCAGAAGTGGTGAGAGGCCATCAACAGCTGGATCATTGTTGCCACCGGGGATGCAGCAGACGAAAACGAGAAGTTATAACCGTATGTTTCACTGTTCACCTGAAATAAAATATACGAAGATGAACTCACTTTCAGGGAATCTGTGAAAGTGCACATCAACACGATCAGCAAACGATATACGAAGCAGTAAGCCAATAATTAAGCTAGGGAAAATTACGACCCTTTGGTTATGAATTATATGACGACGAGTTTTGCCTTGTGTTGGAAATGCTGAAATGATTCAGGAGCAAGTGAGTGAGTGAGTTAATATTTAACGTCACATCGGCAATATTTCAGCCATATCGTGACGAGAACAAATTTGACAACGATGGAGAATATGTATATATCATAAAATCTGTCGTCAAAGGACAGTAAAACAACTAGACTATCACAGTTCGAATTTAAAACTAGCATGTGAAGTTTAAAACTAATAGCACAATTTGGACAATACATAATATAAAAATAGGCTATAGATCGCCAACAAATGAAGAGCCAATCACGACCTTAGTGTATTACTGATGTAGAAAATATGATGTTGCATGTGCACTAAGTTAGTCATATGGAATAAAATGTTCTAGCTACACGATTGCGCTCTGTAATTAACTAAATACGGGATAAAAACACACAGAAGTACAAAGAACTTCAAACACCTGCAAAGTAAAAAAGAACGGAATGTCGCCACATCTAACAACAAGCAATAGAATATGTTTTCTCTCATTGTCAAATGTATTCTTAAGGAACCGTTTGACCAGAAGTACACCGTACAAAGTTGTGATACACAGGATCACAGGATCGAAGCCCTCAAATTTACCCTCGATTTGTCAGCATTGTCAAGTAAATATACTATCTTCACCCAATTCAAATGACTGTCCGTCATAAAACTCTCGTTCATCAAGATTACAACATTAAAGGCCTTACTGAATCTTTCAAAATGTTATGTGGTAGACCCGTGACAGACATTTTCAGACCGGACGTGGATGAAATGATGTCTGATGCATTTCTTTACTTTCATTTACACCATATGGATTTTGTTTTCAAACGAACGTTAATGTTTTTCATGTCCGCTTTTCCATCGATGTGGAACGATGCTCCCACCGTTTGACGATCAACTTGTATCATCACTAACTGATACTGAGTCATACACACCAGCCCATGATGTAGTCGGGAATATACGATATAGTTTTAGCAGTTGATATCGTATGGTTGTGCTAATTAAGTTGATGTTTCTATTCATGGTCATTACTGTGACGTACCAGGGTTCGAATGTGTTTACAGTTGAAATCAAATCTGTTCGGCCTTTCGGCCATTACAGTTGTTCACAAAGCTACACTCATTACCCACAAATGAAGGATTTGCTAGAAACAATCCATAACCCCGTTTGAACTTCGACTGGCAGAAAATAACAAACACACTGCTGAACTATATTATGCCAAAATATTCATCACACTATGTTAAAGGTAATTTTACATGTCAGGGAAAACCTTTAGATCTAATTTGGTCACAAGATCTACATTCTCAAAATTTATCTGGAGGTAGCTGGTTATGTCTTCAATGATTGGACAATGCATCCGCAGATACATTATAGTGAATGCCAGCATTGAACTTCAAATATATTATGTCTAGATATTGAGGAACATTTGACTCAAACTGATAATTGAATATATTCCAACTTAATGTTTCATCTGGAAACAATTGTGACATTAATTTGCCAGTTTCTAGCCATATAAGACTTACACGGCTTGGTTTAGTGCGATTGGAAATTATCAGCCATCAGCATTGGGAGAACGGTAACATGAATGAGCTGTATGTTCTTTGGTTGAATGAATGTTTATCAGAGTTTATATGTTCATGCTCCACAAACATCGGGTAAGCTTGTGACCTTGTGTCATAGAACAGTTAGACCTTTATGTATGAAACAGTAAATGGATGGTATGCCAGTTGTAATTGCTGACTGGCACTTTAAAAATGCCACGAAGATGAAACATTTAATGTTTAGAAAGCTGTTTATACAGTTGTGCACATGGAACATTTTGGGTCAAAAGTCGTAAAGAACATTTGATTTTCAGGTGAAGGATTATGCTTGACCATATGAGGGCTATGAATTTAAACTTTGTCTTTATTTAATTGCGATCTACCTGGTGTATTAGTTACGCATTTCCATATGAAAGTATATTAAACAAACAAAACTATCAAATTTCCAATCGTGTTTCTTAAGAACCCTTCTTTGAGTACCTGGAAATCGTTGTAGAAATACTTCCTCCCGATCGTGACTCCATCTTCTTGAAATGTAATGTATGCCCTCAATCTGTGTGGACGATTGTTTGTCACGTGATATATCATATCCAATCCAGACCAAAAATTGCCTGAAACATTACATTATGGCGAATATCACCATGACATCATAATTGATCATAACTGCAAAACCATGAGTGAATTGAAATAAACGTGCCTATCACTCAATGTTACTTTATTCAACAGACCCGTGAAGGTCCGGGTTAGAATATTGGCCTTCAGTAACCCATGCTTGACGTAAAAGGCAACTAACCGGATCGGGTGGTCAGGCTCGCTGACTTGGTTGACACATGTCATCGGTTCCCAATTGCGCAGACCGATGCTCATGCTGTTGATCACTGGATTGTCTGGCACAATCTCGATTATTTACAGACCGCCGCCATATAGCTGGAATATTGCTGAGTGCGGCGTAAAACTGAACTCACTCACTCACTTTATTCAAGAAATAGTCATATATTTCTATATAACAGGACACGAGTCCGAGATTTCTTGTTTTATTTAATATCATTCTGAATAATGTATGGTTACAATATTTTTCTAAATCGAATTCAGGGCTGAATTCGACCTTTCCAGTTCAAGCTGTAGGAATGCTATGATGTCGTCTGGAGAAATATCTTTTATTTCATTCAAACTCAAATTTATCTAAATACAAGTTGAATTCTATTTGGTATGTATATTTTAAGAAATACACAGAACGCTCCGAAGTATTGGATAGTTTAAATTAGAATCATTAAAGTGATACTTTTGACATTTAAGATAATTTTAGCGCTCAAATTAGTGATTCCTTACTCCACAGATACCGCGTGACCTCATACAAAGTGAGAGAGTGAGTTCAGTTTCACGCCGCACTCAACAATATCACAGCTATATGGCGGCGGTCTGTAAATAATCGAGTCTGGACCAGACAATCCTGTGATGCATGCGCAACGATCTAAGCAATTGGGATACGATAACACAACCAAGTCAGTGAGCCTGACTATCCGATCCCGTTAGTCGCCACTTATGGCAAGCATGGGTTACTGAAGATCACTTCTATCCCAGATTCTTCGCGGGTCCTCATACAAAGACTACCATATGTATAAGCCAGTTATTTGCACATTACAGACTAACTAGTAATACTGTATTTACCTTCGATTTTGAAGTCTCCAAATCCATGTTTGTAGTCTTCCCATTGGCGTGTAAAATTCACGTAGGGACTGTCCCAACGTCGCTTATAGAAAAATGTCCACCCAGGCGGCCATTTGTGCATTTCACAAACAACCTTAAAGGCCAGAGGAGAATTTTTGGGATGGATTTTAAACACATCAGACTCTGTGAAGACTCTGTAATGATCGGTTGAGGCACCCTCGGTGCAATCTGTGTTGAAATAAAAGGAAGAAATACTGTAGAATATTAACAGTCTCTAACATACCATACATCTGCATTCAGTCAAACCGACACTACCAACAGACTAAATGCCAAAACGATGCGCCATTATCTGCACTATTAATAGCGTTTAGTCTCCAGACTGATCATCTTACACTTGGTCAATTTTTTCACCCCTATCCTCCACTCATTAACGATAGCTTGATGGTTATTAATGGCAAATAATAACATTTACTCTTACCCTTGTGAGACTTTAAAATATTATCAGTTAAAACAAATACGATTTTTTAATTGTTTACTGTAAACATTAATAAATACCTTCCATCAGCCGTTCACACCAAGCACCAATATAACCACCATAGCATCTGCAGCCAGAGGTGTCATTCAGAAAGAACCCGTGGTAATGACAACTTGAATGGTAGCCCTGGGGCATAAAGTATAATCTCATTTACAAACAAACTGTAACTATGTTATATTTATCAACAACTTTCAAGGACTCTTCCAGTTGTGAAATGCTGGTTACTTAGTTTTGATCAATTCACAAATTTGATCAAATAATGTGCCATTCCATGTTTTTAATCCCCAAACCAATCTTGCCACGCGTATTCGAATGAATATTGAGGTACTCACATTGAAATGTCTGTACTGGTTGTCGCATCCTGTACTCATCAGTCTCCTTCCACTATTGTGATAACATGTGACAGTGTTTCCGTCACGTTTAATGCTGATGGACCTACATCTCTCATCCCATGCGCACATGATTCCACATTGTGGAACGCTGATGCCGGTGATGGTGTGGTATGTTTCCGGTGTTTGTGTTGGGTCATAACAAGATTCAATACTGGTGAATTTCCATGTGTCCACGACAGTCCGGCATAATTCCAAATAACAAAACAATACAACTGTATAATATTCCAGTCATGCTGAATGATCTACATAGACGGTACCATGGTTATTGTACTTTGCGCAACACGCTAACAGATGAGAATCCAAATAACTTACTGGAAACTAGCAAGTCACAAGTGGGAGTCATTCGACTGGAAGTGATACACGTTCCTATAAACTAACAAACAACATGGCGTCTGCCTGAAGGACGCGGCCCGAGTGTGAATAGTTGCCTTGTCATTGGTTGTCATAGCTGTTAACTAACTCATTGGCTGGTATCAATATGTACAGAAACGCAAGATGCATCTCTTTTTCGTGTTTTAAAAATCAATATTGGAATTGATTACCATATTCGAACCTAGGAAACATGATCAGGTTGTGTGGTACAGATCAATGAACATGTTGGATCAAGAGTGGTTTGACATCTAGCGAAATCCAATGTCGAAAATAAGTTGATTGTTTTACATCTAAGACCTCACATTTTTCCAATAATTCCTTTAATGGAAACAGCTTGTGTTTAACGTGTACATATTCGGAATTTTCCATTAGAGTGACACGACCCAACCAATTTACACATTTTTCCAAATAGCTAAGACATCATCCATACGTCCTCCCTGTTCACCATGTGTGAACAATGTGTTTGGGTAATAAATATGCTACAAACCACTTTATACCCGCATACTATACTACCAATCAAAAGTTTAGACTCACTTAAAGCACTCACTATATGTTATGTATATATATGTGGTTACATCGAATATGAATTTCTGCACTACCTTGGGGGGAACCAACTGCAAACCTTATGCATATGTATTGCACGAGGATCATGCATCAAATTGCTGAAAAGCATGTGCAAATATTGTGCATGTGAACAGCTGCGTTTTGGTGTAAAGTTTTGTTAAGAATTCGCCAATTTTCACCAAGTTTCATCATTTGTTGAACTCATGACAATAATCTTTTCAACGTTACGAATTTGTTTTACAATCCATCAGTTCATGTGTAAACAATACCTTTAAACAGTGTGGGGTATTTTGCAAAATCTAGTTTAGAACAATTGACTGAAGTAAGTGGCTACATTTACACTAGTGAGTCTAAACTTTTGAAGGGTAGTATATATTTATTACATACATCCGCTTGTGCGCGTTATCATTTAGTATCCTTGAGACTTACGAAGTTAATGACAAAGGTGTATTCATAGTTTGATAATTCCATGTTGAGCTTGGCAAAATGGCGGCAATCGGAGAACGTAGCTATCTGTGTGAAGGGTTCAAGTGTATATATCGTAAAAGTATATATGTTAAGCGATCATCAATTAAATATATGACTGTTCAATAAACGTACAGCGAAGGAATTGTGAGATCAAGGTGTACTCTACGTTAATCTATTCACAGCCTATACACCCTAAACACTATATTACATATATATGTAAATATATATATATAAAATTCATTTTTATAGCGCCTTTATCCATCTGTCCAGTTGCTCGCTGGGGCATATGTAGGAGTCATTAGAGTGTGAGCGGGAAAATGTCAAAAATTGTAAGCAGTTCTGAACAGAAGGGTTTTGATTTGGCGCTTAAAAGTGGATTCACATAGGTGGCTTTAAGGTGCAAGATTCGCTGTTGAACTGGCAACCAATGGAGAAATCTCAGAACTGGAGTGAGGTGGTCAGTGCGTCGCGTGCGTGTAATCGATACTGCTGCAGAATTCTGTAGTCTTTGCAGACGTGATAGAATCTTTGGTGGGAGGTTGACAAGAAGAGAGTCGGTTGATGATAAGAGTTTGTACAAGAAGTTCGATGGTATCCAGGGTCATGAATGGAATGTTACTGCAACAGCTGTAAGACCTTCCTCGCCCACTCCATTCTAAAAATAAACATCCTTGTGGATTTATTTATCACCTGGTTTTAACCATCGCAATTATTTACTCAGCTCCAGTCAATAAAGTTCAAAGTTATTTGTCTACCACATCAAGTTTGTCATTCACGCATTTGACCTGCAACACTCCCAACAACAAGTGTAATCTAACAGTCTGACTCAGGGAAATGGCACGCTGATGTCCATCCGGTTACCAGCGAACAATTTGGATGCTGTAACAACATGGTATATCCTTGGGTGAACAAAAGGTCATCGCAGTAAAATATGTATCTATGTTTGCATAAAGTTATACTTTAAAACATATTTTTAGAGATTTCTGGATTTTCTTAAAAATGCCCCTTAATGTGTGTACTAATTCATCTTTTGAGGTAAAACCGAAAAATCCTAAAAATATTTACATAATCAGCAAACCTCCAGATATACCACGGCAGTCAGTAAATAGTCGAATCTGGACCAGACAAACCATAGTCACAGAATTACCACGACCCATAGTCAGCTATGTCACAGAAGGCGACAGCAGAACCCGATTTAGTTGACAGTCAATGACAGCCAACAACATGCAGAGGCCTATTCTGTACCGGATCCCCAGGAAGATTTTTGGGGTTTCACAGAGGTGGGTTGGGCTTGAAGCTCTTTGAATATGATGGTTTACAGGCATTAAATACTTTCGATTCTATTCGATTATCTTCCTGAGTTAAAAAAGAGGTTCTGTAACGTACACAACACTGGCCATTATTGGCGGTTTCATAATTTCTTAAATAAATGACAATGGATATACACGACACGTAATCGGGTATCGGAAAACCACAGCAGACCATGCCGAGTGATGTCTTTCGTTATTTCTCGGTTTCATTTATGGTCATTATTGTGCTGCAATGTATGCAATGGCATGGACAAACCTACTAAAGCCTTCAGGATATAGTCAATCAAATAATATTTTTTTCAATCAATTAAAGTAGAAATTAATACAGTGCTACATGTCCAGATGTAACAGGCCTAATACATGTATATCGTTTTCTTTTATGTGCGTTTAGACAGCCTTATAAGAACTGTCAAATCCCGAAGCTGCTCGAACGATCAAGGCCATTATGTACGGTATCTCTAATTACACTTCCTGTTACATTTAACTTATTTTACCAATCGGTTGCAGCCACTGAACATAACAGATGGCACAAGTGGTTCACTGAAATGCTGTAACTAACGAAGTTACACCCTTCTGGCTTATTCCATCAGCCAAGACTAAAAACTGATTCAGTCACTCATTCTCTCAGTCACTCACTCAATCTTAGTGGTCTTAGACGTTGCCGACATTGGCGAAACCATCGCTCAGACAGGTGGTTGATAAACCAAGAATCCTCATGAGTTGAATATGAGATTCTAACCGAAATTAGAGAATACTGTCCGAGTTAAAGGACACAATTCTGTTTGGACAATCACGGCGTGTTATATGACTGAGTCAACCGTGCCATTGCATCCACAAACTCAATTATACATTTCAACTCTGTGTGCGTCACGTTATGGCTGAAATATTGCCGATGTGACGCTAAATATTAACTCACTCACTCACTCACTCACTCACTCACTCACTCATCTCTGTGTGTCTGAGCAAACTATTATACGAAATGACGTGATCTAGTGAAGTTTATTTCAAAGGTTTCATGATTTCATCGGAATCTGATAACAAGACCATCAGCAATAAGTGGTGACCACTAGCAATGAGACAAATGGTGGTCCTTATTTTCATTGAACTTCCACATTGATTTGCTTCTCTGCCGTCTGACCGTTCCGGCCGGTAGCGATACAGAAGTAAATTCCTTGATCAGCCGGAGTTACCGGAAATATCTGGAACTCTTTCCATTGTACGTACTCGCTACTGGTGGACACAATAGGGTCCAACGATGGCCCTTGTCTACCCTTCCGTAGTTCCACATTCACGATGTCCGGTCCCAGGCCGTTGCATTCGATAGAGCAGGTATATCGCTCGTCACATGTTTTCTTCCCGTCAAATACGTCTGACAGCGAGTAGGCACCAACAAAGTTTTCAGGGAACGGTCCCACGTGATCTCTATGTTTGAGGTAGGCGACACGTGTCGAGCCAAGAGTGGGCAGATAACTCCTGCTATAAAACGTACTGTATACAAACACCAGTCCTTCTTCTGACAACAGAGTGAGACGGGAGGACACAACGGTTTTGACACCTGGGTCAATGTTGAATGTCCTGTCAATCCTTTGACCCACAGAGTCATACGGGGTCACTACTTGGACAGGGGCGTCTTTAGATGAGCTGTTGATTCCAACAAAATACCAACCAAGGTCTGGTACACTGTAGAAGTCTGAGTCCTCTATCTCGATCTCTACGGATATATCGAATGGCTCACCTGGGGTGTAGGAAATGGGATCGGGTGAAAATCGAATGGATATATCAGACACGGCCAGTTCTCCGTTTATTTCCCCAAAACATAGTAATACTCCGTCAGGGAGCCCCTCAGTTTCAGAGCTACGATCAGTCCATAGGCAGGGTTCCTTACTACCAGCTCTGACCGTCCTTGACCTTCACGGAACGTGTCCTTGGCCGTATCATCTGGAATATTTAACCAAGACGGTAAGTTGACGTTAAGACTTGCATTGTCTATACTGTTTGTAGCGAGTTGATACAAAATTGCTTATGCAGCGTTAAGTAATATTCACGCACTACTTCACTCACTCAGTATTCTGGGCTGGCCTCGATTTTTTGTTTTTAAAAAAATAATTCCTTCCTTGCCAATGCTTCATGCATATTTTATCTGGCTTGTGCCCCCAATTTATTTTTCAGGACAATCAATTAACATTGTTAAACTCTGTAAAGACATTTAGAGTGAGTGAATGAGTGAGGTGTCTCCGATGGTTTTGGGGATTATCTGCATACATAAAGGGGTGGGGTGGGGTGGGTAGTTGAAAATCTCCTTCATCCAGTGGGAAAGTTCAGTTGAAGGCCGCCTTGAACAGTCTTCCAGTCATATCACGGTGTGTCACATAAAACCGACAGATATTCACCAAGAGGCGAACCTAGATTCGAACCCACGGTCATAGGATTCTGGCACAGCAAAAAAATGTGCTTAAAGTGACAAGGGACCCCGTGCCCCTTAAACGAATGAGTATATTCTGGAAATCTGAGTACTTAATGCATTCCAATGTAGTGTTCGCTGTTAACTGGATCAACTTGTCTCTCATGTTAATGAGGTAGACCGTCATAGCTCATAATGTTCGGGAGTCACAAACGTAAATGGCAAATTGGCTATGGCAGGAAAATAACTTAATGACATTATTGACATTTTGAATGTGAGGGTTAATCATGTATACTTAAAACCAAACATTCGTTCGTTCGTTCATTCGTGCATTCATTTGGCTCACTTACATATCTTATCTCCGTATTTCCATACAGCCTCCGCCTGAGAGGGACTCTCATACTGGATAGAGTATTTGACAAAGCCACCCTCTTCCACAGCGGAGATACTCGAGGTTTTCAGTCTTGCGTCGCTGGTTGCAACAACCTGCGAAAACAACATAATTTGATTTACAATTTAAGTGATTGTTACTCCAAGAACGGACCAATAATATGAGCACATAAAGAGGATTCTGTCGAAATAATCTTAGGAGATAAAACTCCTCTTGTGTTTTATTCTTTACCAGGCATATATAACTTAAACACATCACCATAATGTACAGACGATATCCCATTCCATGTGTTCAGACAATAACCAAATGTGTATTCTGTATTCTATAAACACATTCCTAAACATATTTCAACAGTAACCAGTAACTATTGACCTTTCAAAATCCGCCTTGAAGAGACACAGCATGACATCCATTGACAAAACGGCCCTTATATATTCAGGCAAGACACTTTATTTCCTACACATTAAAATCTCGTTTACTCCGATAAGACATGCTTACGTGGAGGTATCGTGTCAGAGTAAATTATCATATTGGAAAGTGATTACTAACTAGGACTTAGGAGAGAAGGGAAGATAGTCTAGTGGTTAAATTGTTCGCTTGTCGCGCCAAATCTCCGGGTTCGATTCATCCCGCCGTCATATTGTCTGAACATTGCCAAAAGCGGAGAACACAATACACACACTCGCTAACATTATCACCATGTAGAATACCACATAGGCAGTGGGGGAACTTAACATATGGTAGATCTCCGTGTGTGACAGTGGGAGAACTTAACATATGTTAGATCTCTGTGTGTGACAGTGGGGGAACTTAACATGTGGTAGATCTCGGTGTGTGACAGTGGGGGAACTTAACACATGGTAGATCTCTGTGTGGAACAGTGAGGGAACTTAACATATGGTAGATCTCCGTGTGGAACAGTGGGGGAACTTAGCATATGGTAGATCTCTGTGTGGAACAGTAGGGGAACTTAACATATGGTAGATCTCTGTGTGGAATAGTTGGGGAACTTAACATATGGTAAATCTCCGTGTGGAACAGTGGGGGAACTTAACATATGGTAGATCTCCGTGTGGAATAGTGGGGGGCTTAACATATGGTAGATTTCCGTGTGTGACAGTGGGGGAACTTAACGTATGGTAGATCTCCGTGTGGAACAGTTTGGGGAACGTAACACATGGTAGATCTCCGTGTTGAACAGTGGAGGAACTTAACATATGGTAGATTTCCGTGTGTGACAGTGGGGGAACGTAACATATGGTAGATCTCTGTGTGGAACAGTGGGAGACAGTGGGGGAACTTAACATATGGCAGATCTCCTTGTGGAACAGTAGAGGAACTTAACATATGGTAGATCTCCGTGTGTGACAGTGGGTGAACGTAACATATGGTAGATCTCCGTGTGAAACAGTGGGTGAACGAAACATATGATAGATATCCGTGTGAAACAGTGGGTGAACGTAACATATGGTAGATATCCGTGTGAAACAGTGGGGGAACTTAACATTTGGTAGATATCCGTGTGAAACATTGGGGAACGTAACATATGGTAGATATCCGTGTGACAGTGGTTGAACGTAACATATGATAGATATCCGTGTGAAACAGTGGGTGAACTTAACATATAGTAGATCTCTGTGTGGAACAGTGGGGGAACTTAACATATGGTAGATCTCTGTGTGTGACAGAGCGGGAACGTAACATGTGGTAGATCTCTGTGTTGAACAGTGGGAGACAGTGGGGGAACGTAACATATGATAGATATCCGTGTGAAACAGTGGGGGAACTTAACATATGGTAGATCTCTGTGTGTGACAGTTCGGGAACGTAACATGTGGTAGATCTCTGTGTGGAACAGTGGGAGACAGTAGGGGAATTTAACATGTGGTAGATCTCTGTGTGGAACAGTGAGGGACAGTAGGGGAACTTAACATATGGTAGATCTCTGTGTGGAACAGTGGGAGTCAGTAGGGGAACGTAACGCGTGATAGATCTCTGTGTTGAACATTGGGAGACAGTGGGAGACCGTAACATATGTCTCCTTGTGGGACAGTGGGGGGAACATTAGACATGGTAGATCTCCGTGTGGAACAGTGGAGGAACTTAACATATGGTAGATCTCCGTGTGTGACAGTGGGAGAACTTAACATATGTTAGATCTCTGTGTGTGACAGTGGGGGAACTTAACATGTGGTAGATCTCGGTGTGTGACAGTGGGGGAACTTAACACATGGTAGATCTCTGTGTGGAACAGTGAGGGAACTTAACATATGGTAGATCTCCGTGTGGAACAGTGGGGGAACTTAGCATATGGTAGATCTCTGTGTGGAACAGTAGGGGAACTTAACATATGGTAGATCTCTGTGTGGAATAGTTGGGGAACTTAACATATGGTAAATCTCCGTGTGGAACAGTGGGGGAACTTAACATATGGTAGATCTCCGTGTGGAATAGAACTTAACATATGGTAGATTTCCGTGTGTGACAGTGGGGAACTTAACGTATGGTAGATCTCCGTGTGGAACAGTTTGGGGAACGTAACACATGGTAGATCTCCGTGTTGAACAGTGGAGGAACTTAACATATGGTAGATTTCCGTGTGTGACAGTGGGGGAACGTAACATATGGTAGATCTCTGTGTGGAACGAACTTAACATATGGCAGATGGTAGATCTCATATGGTGTGTGTGAAACAGTGAACGAAACATATGGAGAAACAGTGGGGAACTTAACATATGGAAACAGATCTCCATTGTGTAACATATGGTAGATATCCGTGTGACAGTGATAGATATCCGTGTGAAACAGTGGGTGAACTTAACATATAGTAGATCTCTGTGTGGAACAGTGGGGGAACTTAACATATGGTAGATCTCTGACAGAGAGAACGTAACATGTGGTAGATCTCTGTGTTGAACAGTGGGGGAGACAGTGGGGAACGTAACATATGGTAGATATCCGTGTGAAACAGTGGGGAAAACATATGGTAGAGTGGGTGGAACAGTGGGGAACGTAACATGTGGTAGATCTATGGAACAGTGAGGGACGTGTGAAACAGTGGGGTGGAACAGTAAGAGGGGAACGTAACATATGGTAGATATCATATGTGTGAAACAGTGGGGAACGTAACATATGGTAGATCTCCGTGGTGAAAAACAGTGGGGATGACATGGTAACATATGGGTGGTAGATCCGTGTGTGACAGTGGGGAACGTAACATATGGTAGATCTCCGTGTGAAACAGTGGGGAACTTAACATATGGTAGATCTCCTGGAACAGTGGGTGAACGTAACATATGGTGTGATCTCCGTGGAACAGTGGGGAACGTAACATATAGTAGATCTGGAGGAACTTAACATATGGTGTGTGACAGTGGGGAACGTAACAGTGGTGAAGAGACAGTGGGGAACGTAACATATGATAGATATCCGTGTGAAACAGTGGGGAACTTAACATATGGTAGATCTCTGTGTGTAGACAGTGACAGGGGAACGTAACATGTGGTAGATCTCTGTGTGGAACAGTGGGGAACGGGAGACAGTAGGGGAATTTAACATATGGTAGATCTCTGTGTCGGGAACGTAACAGTGAACAGTGGGGACAGTAGGGGAACTGTGTAACATATGGTAGATCTCTGTGTGGAACAGTGGGAGTCAGTAGGGGAACGTAACGCGTGATAGATCTCTGTGTTGAACATTGGGAGACAGTGGGAGACCGTAACATATGTCTCCTTGTGGGACAGTGGGGGGAACATTAGACATGGTAGATCTCCGTGTGGAACAGTGGAGGAACTTAACATATGGTAGATCTCCGTGTGTGACAGTGGGGGAACTTAACATATGGTAGATCTCCGTGTGTGACAGTGGAGGAACTTAACATATGGTAGATCTCCGTGTGGAACAGTGGAGGAACTTAACATATGGTAGAGCTCCGTGTATGACAGTGGGGGAACTTAACATATGGTAGATCTCCGTGTGGAACAGTGGGGGAACGTAACATATGGTAGATCACCGTGTGTAACAGTGGGGGAACGTAACATATGGTAGATCCCCCTGTATGACAGTGGGTGAACGTAACGAAAGGTAGAACTCCGTGTGGAACAGTGGGGGACAGTGGGGAAACGTAAAATATGGTAGATCTCCTTGTGGGACAGTGGGGAGAACATAACACATGGTAGATCTCCGTGTGTGACAGTGTGTTTGACAGTGGGGGAAATTAACATATGGTAGGTCTCTGTGTGTGACGATACATACATACATACAGACATACAGACATACAGACATACAGACATACATACATACATACATACATACATACATACATACATACATACATACATACATACATACATACATACATACATACATACATACATACATACATACATACATACATACGTATAGCGCCGATATCCAGCTCAGCTCAGCTGCTCAAAGGCACTTTGTTTTTCCCTCGTTCACTGGATGTCAATCTCAACGGCACATCGTATTGTCAATCTCAACTCCCTGGGGAGCATACAACTCTTGCAGCCACTAGGCGCACCGAGTTATTGTGGCATTCCCATCCTTACGAGGTACCCATTCACAGCTGGGTGGACTGGGACACATAGTCACAGTACTTTGTCCAAGTTCACTGCACGTTGCTGTACCCGCAACTGGGTGTTTGCACGTATTCATGTGGCCACCATCTGGTCATATACCAACGGATTCGTGGGTTCTTTTAAGTGCACAGGGTTGTGTACTGTACACTAGGGGTTGTGACAACACTGAAAGAGTCTGCACACAAAGTTGACTCCAAGGTTTTTTACACCCGGTCACAGGTGGGCTCGATCCCGTCACCTCAACCTCGCTGGATCACTAGCCTCGCGCTTTAGCCAGTTCGCCCACCACGATGGGGGAAACTTAACACATAGTCGGCCTACATGTAGTAGAGGGGCATTTAACATATGGTACATGTAGGTCTCCGTGTGGGACAGTCGGGCCCTTAAGCATCTGTTGCAAAACTTGATTGTTCAGGTACACTGGTATGTAAGTCTCCCTCACATTTCATAAACCATACTCTTTTACCTTCTGCCGAGACTTCACTGATCTATCCTACATGAAGTGAAGATGTTACACATTATGTCAAGTATCATATATTGTCAAAGACTCATTGTCTGTGTAACCCCTTGACTTAAAGTGTAACGATGTTTTACTTACCGAACATAGCGTTGATACCAGCAACACAGCCACTGCAGAGAACCTCGCCATCATTACGGTTCCCAGGAAAACATATGTCCTGTAGGAGGGCGTACATATGTTATATCCGGCAATTAGGGTGACTGACATTTAAACGTTCTCTCCGCGGTTGTAAAAATAGGATACGAATTTCAAACATAAAAGTCATAATAATACATAATACTGATTATATTTTGATGACATATGTCTACAATGGATCTCCCTATTTGCTTAACGTTGGCATTTGTTTATTTGTTGTTTAACGACTCACTTAGCAATATTCCGCCATTACAGGGGGTTTGTAAATAATCGATTCTGAACGAGAAAATCCAGTGACCAATATTATGAGCATCCGTCCGCCCGTCCGTCTATTAATCCTTCATCAATAAGCAGCCAATAAAATACATTTGTCGTAGATATTGAAGATTAAAAATCCAATGGATTCGAAATGAAGACTGTGCGCAAGTGGAATGTGATCGATAAAAGATAATGGCATGCAAGGGTTTGTTCATTATGAGTATAAAAGAAAGGGGAAGTGTCGAGTACTGGTGTTGTACGTACCTATTTGAAAACCACGAACGGAGAGTGAAATGTGTTTGGTTCGTGTCACTCGAATGAAGAATGTAGAACAATCAACATACTTCAACATGCGATTTCACTTTATTCCTGAAACACTTTTGATCCGATAGGTTCATTGATTTGTACCTCACAACCTGGTCATACAATCCAATATGGTGATAGAATGCAAACATGCATTTCAGTGAGAACAAGAAGGAGATGTAATTGAATGTGACGTACATATTGATACCAGACAAGGGCTTATGTATCAGCTATGACAACCAATGAGAATGCCCCTACAACATCAATAATGTAGCTTTCAGAATTGTGAGCTGACATGCAATGGCAGAATCGCCGTGGAACTGAGGATACAAACTCCACACTTCGGTCCCGGTTTTTGTACAGGCGCCACGTTGTTTTGCTGGTTGGTAGTTTCCAGTAAGTTATTTGGATTCTCATTTGTGAGTACAATACGCACCATTTCAATCATTTAGCATGACTGGAATATTATACATTTGGATTGTTCTGTTATTTGGAATAATGCCGGACTGTCGTTCATACATGACACTCTCCAGTATTGAATCTTGTTATGACCCGACACAAACACCCGAAACATACTACACCATCACCGGCATCAGCGTTCCACAATGTGGAATCATGTGCGCAGGGGATGAGAGATGTATGTCCATCAGCATTAAACGTGACGGGAACACTGTCACATGTTATCACAATAGTGGAAGGAGACTGTTGAGTACAGGATGCGACAACCAGTACAGCCATTTCAATGTGAGTACCTCAATATTCAATCCAAAACTTTGAATTGGATTCGGGATTAGATAACATAGCATGGCAAATTATTTGATCAATTAGTGAATTCAGCAGTTTTAAGTAACCTATATTTCACATGTCCAAGGTTCCTTGCAGGAGTTTATAAGTTTAACATAGTCCAATAGTGTTTGCAAATGACATGTTTTATGCACCAGGGGTACCATTCAAGTTGTCATTACCACGGAGTCTTTCTGAATGACACCTATGGCTGCAGATGTTACGGTGGCTATATTGGTGCATGGTGTGAACGACTAATGGAAGGTATTGTATCAATTGTTGCAAAATAATACTATCCGCATTTGTTTTGATATTTGAAAGTCTCACAAGGCTGCAAGTCTAGAGAGTAAAAGTTATGTCTTGATGTTAATAGTTTACAGGATAAATATTTGTCATTATTAATCATTTATGAGTAATTTCGGTTTTCTCTTTAGCGCCAGTTTCAGCAGTATACCTTTCATATTAACGTTTACCTGATACACATACCTCTAGAAAAGGACGGCCTGTGTGTAGAAGCAATGAAGTTTTTAGCAGAAATATCCTTAATGGTCCTGGATTAGATGATGTGCTATGGCAACAACTCTGTTGGTATTTCTGTAGGTTTAACGCGGATAATTGTGTATGGTATATAATTAATTCTTCTTATTTCAAAGTTAGCCTTCCTTTCATTTCAATACAGATTGTTCTGAGGGAGCCTCAACGGATCATTACAAAGACTTTACAGAGTCTGATGTGTTCCACATCCATCCCAGCAATGCTCCTCGGGCTTTTAAGGTTGTTTGTACTATGGACGGATGGTCACCTGGATGGACATGGTTCTTTAAGCGACGCTTTGACAGTCCCTACGTGAACTTTACACGCCCATGGGAAGACTACAAACATGGGTTTGGAGACTTCAGTAACAGTGGTAAATAAACTTGTCCCAGCTATCGGGGTTCAGCATAAAGTACCCCCCGTATGAATGAGTGAGTTAAGATTTTAAGTCACAACCCCTCGTATGAGATCAGGAGATATATACGGAGAAGCCATGGTTGTCCTTATCACTGGGGGATTGAACGATGTATGCGTTAGACTGAGCTACAAGTGTCAAGAATTTTACTTCAATGATTCCAATTTAAAGTATCCAATACTTCGGAGTTTGTGTTTAATCCTTGCAAAATTCATACGAAATACAACTCAATGAGAGAAATCTGAATTAGGCTGAGTTCAAAACTATATTTCCAGGCGGCAGCACAATATACATGTAGTATTTCAAGATGTACTCATATCAATTTATTGAAAGGTGAGGTTTTCAGTGATATGTTTTATTAAAAGATAAAGGCTATTTTATAATTGACAGATTCGTTACTAGCTATAATCTCAAATTATTATTATAAGTATTATGTAACTATTGTCATCCTTAGAGAGTATGTGCCACGTCTTTCAAGGGAAATTGTGACGTTCTTAATCGTAACATGTGTGTCATTATAATTCATAGCTAAGCGTATTAAAAAGGGGCGTGGTGGGCGAGCTGTCTAAGACGCCAGGCTAGTGATCCAACGAGCTCCAGGTGCCGGGATCGAGCCCACCTGTGACCGGGCGTAAAAACCTTGGAGTCAAGTTTGTGTGCAGACTCTTTCAGAATTGTCACAACCCCTAATGTACAGTACACAACCCTGTGTACTTAAAAGAATCTAGTACCCACGAATCTGATAAATGACCAGATGGTGAATATGTGCAAACACCTAGTTACAGGTACAGCAACGTGCAGTAAAACCTTGACTATGTACCCAGCTGTGAATGGGTATCTCTTAAGGATGGGAAAATCACATTAACTTGTTGCGCCTTGTGGCTCCATGAGTTGTATGGTCCCCAGGGAGTTGAGAAAAATACGACGTGTCGTTGAGATTAACATCCAATAATAGAGGGAAAAAAACAAAGCGCTTGAGCATGCATGTGGGATGGACAATATGAATACCCACATATTAAATAAAAATCGCTGGCAACTGGAGGCATGCTGTAAATCCAAACAGGGCCCATGCACGTAGGAAAATAACCGTAAGAACCAATGGTCTCTTGTATGGTGATCTACTTTCAGTTGTTGTCAATCTATAGACCGTTTGTACATAGTATGAACTGCAATAAAATACAACATTTACCCTACTGAAGATAATGCAATAATACATTATAATGAATCTCCATCTGTGATATTCTGGTTGTTTTTACTGTCCTTTGTCGATAGTATTTTTCTAATCTAACCGTAATATGCATTATCAAAACATAATTTATGTTAGTCAAGAAATGACTATTCTGAAAGACTAGGCTGAAATTCTGAACATGTGTCCGGAAACCTCAATTAGCATACTTGACAAAAATAATTCAATTGACGCGGACTGGTATATTTGCGATCAAATGACATTCTAGTGATATTCATCGTGTATCAAGTTATATTTTCATTGCTAATGTTTCAGGCAATTTTTGGACAGGATTGGATACGATGTATCATGTGACCAACAATCGCCCACAAAGACTGAAGGCATATATTTCTTTTAAAGAAGATGGGAAATGGGTATTGAGGACCTATGCCTACAAGAATTTTCAGGTACTTAAAGGAAGGTTCTAAACAGACACCAATTTGGATATATACACTTCCGATTTGTGAATTTTATTTGTTTAATAAACAATCATTTGAAAATACTCACTACTGTTCCAGGTAGGACGGTAATGTTCATGACCCCGCCTACAGTCGGAAATTAACCTAATGTTCTTTACGACTTTTGATTCCAAATCGTTTATATGTACGACTGTATGAACAGTTTTCTAAAGATTATGAATAGGAATTTTCTTTTTGTAGTGGAACATTTTTCATATTTACGGTATTTGTAAAATGCCAGTCAACAATTACGATGACCATATGTCACCATGTTGAACCTCTGATCACAAGGAATGTACATATACTTGAGTACGCCTGTTAGAACACCTCTTCAGTACAGCTTGTTCAGCTTGACCTGAGCTACTCTACATATTCATGACCCGGGAGGTCAAATGGCACAAACCTCTGGGCGAGTTAACTTCATAAAATAGGGGAGCAGAGAATATTATTAATGTTGCGTTCGCGCGAAGCATGCACACATGGATTCGTAACAGCCCGAATCGGAAACATTAAACCATCTGTAGCTTCTTTTTTAAAGAACGTTAGGACATTGTTGACGATTTTTCGACACAGAGATGTCAAGCGCAACCTTGTCTCGGCTGATCGGACATGTTGACAATCAACTGACAAAGGTGCACCCCTTCATAATAATAGACCGAACCAGTTGTGACACGGTTACGCAATGCATTAGAATACCTATCAGTTCAAGCCGAACAAGCTGTATATGCTAGGTTGTCCTTGGGGATGCTTATACAGGCATACACCACTTCAATAGTCACTTGTCTATTTACGTATCCCACGAAAGCAAAGAAGCTCCAAAGGTGAACGTAGTGAAGAAAGGAGATGTTATCTCCAACGGGGAATAACCTCCGTTTGAATATTTATATTACATAAACATGAACTTGTTCTATAACACGTGCTTGCTTGTCTGTTTCAGTTAGCTGAGCATGTATTCACCGTCAAACATAAATCAGCCAATGAACCTTAAGTTCATTCATGTGACCATTCACCCAGTGCTGATCACCTGTAAACACATTTAAACCCTTCAAGTCCTTAAATTATTACTATTCGCACAGTGTATGACCATGACTAGATTAAGAGCGTTAAAACCAGCTCCACATCCATGAGAAATAACTGCACACACTCGACTGTAAACAATGTGACTATATCAGGAGGATGTGTACATGGATCACTATTCACTATCCATGATACAAAGTGTGCGAAATATAGAGAATATCCTCCCTCATTAGTTGCTCAAGTATTGTGGAAAACACATAGAAAGGCTGCACAAATGTGTTTTTGAAAATAACAACAGGAACAGATGGTATGAGTCAAAATAAGGAACTGCATTATTTTGTCAATGGTGAGCCAAGTTTAAAGATATCTGAATAAAATGCGATAATAATTGTATGAGTCAAAGGAAGGAACAGCATCAGATATAGTGTCTGTCAATGAAGCGTCAGGTTTGAAAATGTCGTCCACATGTGAACCATAAAACCTTTTGAAAGTTGTAGTGTGGTCTTGAATGTTGTAACCTTGATAGAAATCTTCTCAGCAAGAGTCGTATGACAGTCCTTGAACTTTTAGTTAAATGAGCATGCTTGGCTTTACCTAAAGATTGTGAAATATAAACACACAGGGCTGAAGCCGAAAGAATATTGCTTGACAGAAAGGGAAAGGTGAAATCTTTTATCAGTGTGATTAACACGCACTTTCAGAGATTTCCTTAACGTGTCGGAATGTTTACTTTCAGGTGAGCAGTGAAACATATGGTTATAACTTCTCGTTTTTGTCTGGCGTGCCACCCGGCCCCAACCATGAAAAAGCGATGGATGGCCTCTCTCTATTTCTGGGAGCTAAATTTTCCACTTACGATGTCGACAATGACAACGATAGCAGTGACAACTGTGCAAATATCCACCAGTCTGGGTGGTGGTTCACCACATGTGATGGCTACAATCCCACAGGGCAACCACAACCTCCATCAGTTCAGTACAAGACATCGGACCCCACTCAAATGTCCTGGCCTAACACACTGAACTACAGCGCTGCCCGAGTAAATATGTTCCTGATTGCCGATTAGAACTGCAGATAGATGGGATACACAGGATGACTTTGATATCACAGAACTGTTGGATACTGTTCGATTGTTGGATTGTTCAGGATCAGAATAATTGCCAATGTTCCACGTTAGGACAGATTGGGCGATTGTTTGTCAATGTTCAGAGGCAGACATGCCTTGAATGGTAGTATGCAGTATAACACAACGAACAAAGTCTCAGACTCAGACTCATATGTGAAGCGACGCAACTGAATATTGTTAAATGCGTCTTGTATAACTCACGCCCTGTTTGTCAGAGAGGCATGAAGAGGATGGCTTTGATATCACATAACTGTTGATAAACTGTTCGTTCCTGCAAGGTCGATGATCAGAATAATTCCCAGTGATGGATGGTTGATTGTTAGGCTGCCCTGGCAGATCAGGAATATCATCTTCATCGTGAAACAACCAAAAAGACTCAGTCATAAGCGAAGCAACGCAACTGAATATTGTTAAATGTGGCGTCATACATAACCTCACATCATCACAGAACACACAATATAAGCATCTACTTTGAACAGTCCTCGTTTGGTCCAAGATCAGTACAAGTACATGATATAATCATGTTACAGTTATGGTATTCTATACACGACACACATCAATGAAAACTGAATTTAATAATTTTAGAAAAACACAGTATTTTATCATTTTGATTCATTTTTCAGCTGTTTATGCATGTAAAAATGAAATTTAAAACTTGCTCACAATATTGCATCCAAATTCGTCAGTTGACAAATCCATCATCATTTGGACTCATTGTTTAGCTGTTTCTGCATATATCTAACCTGCAGTTACAAGGTGATAAGTGTTGTTTGTTTTATATGCATTCTGTATTTGCAATTTGACAATTTGTGTAGTTGTATTCAATTCTCGACACCCATCTCACGTCTTCTCGTATTGATTATGCATATGTATATCTTATGTACACCCCGTGTTCATTTCCAATATGTTTACAGAGCTTAGATTTTATCAACGATGAATGTGAGATAGAAATGTAATCTCGAATGAACGCTTCACAATTAATTGCAACCTCAAACTAGTACGTGTGTGTGTGTGTGTTTGTGTGTGTGTGTGTGTGTGTGTGTGTGTGCAATCTATAGTAAAGAAAGCTGACATTCGAACCAGGTTGTAAATGTACCACTGTAACATCTATAAGAAACTATTGACGTATCAGTGGTTTGGAATTCATTTTTACATGGAAGTTTGATTGAAAGCATTACTTGATTCAAAGGCTCCATAAAAATTCGAACGAAAAATAAACTTAGAGTCTATCATATCTCGTTTTAGGGTAACAATAAAACATTCATTGTATTTGTGAAACCGAGCCCTGTATGTCAGTGACACGTGACAGTTGACAAAGCTTACAGCATATTTTCCTTACCAACAACTATAAAATTAAATTGCAGCAACGTAATCGATATTTGCTTTCTTTGTCTCCGAGTCTCTGCAGTTCGGTGTGACCTTCAGAACAGTTTCGTTATCCGTTATGTTCCTCCATGGAACCAGTTCATTCTGGATGACTTTACTACACGTACTGTTTAGTTTTTACTTCTGACTACATGTGATTGTTAAGTATACCTTGCTGTTTGTGAGAAACGTAAAATGTGTCTATATGGCATTAAATATTTCATTTTATGTGTCTTTTCATGAAGCTCACGTTCATTAGTGGTTATATATTGATATGTTTCACACATCGGAAATATGAACTAGTGTGGACAACGGCTAAAGCAGCTCTTGTTAAGACTGTTTCTTCACGTATTATAGCGCATTCTCATTTTTATCTATGACATGTTTAAACGGCCGGCAAATATATAATCCACTATAGGTCAGACAGACCTATGTTTGATATCGTTGACAGCAGCAATTGAGTGATGGTCAACGTATTGCCCAAGTTGCCTTGCTTGACTATCACATTCAACATAGCCGTCTCCAGCAACCACCATCTATTTTAGGGACCTATTCAGATCCCGGTCCCAATCGCTAGAAATTGTCGACCTCTGCCTAAAAGATTGTTTTATCCTTTACATATTCGGTCAATGAACGTTGTATGTTTGCTTTCAATAGACAGATATGATCATAACGTATAGCAAGAGAAGCCAGGAATTACCTTAGACAGTACGCAGTCTAAAATAGAAGGTGATAAACCGTTCATGAACCTGAGACTACTGATTTAGTCTTTGTTAGACTAAATGTTCACTCTTCTGATGTTTCCTAAATGAAGTTCATGGACAATTATGATGAATCAAAAGGTCAGGTTTCTGTGTTCGTTAGGCCAATGCTAGGTATGTTGAGACTATATTGCGTGACGTTTAAAAGAAGTTTATAAAGACGCATATTGGTTGCTTTGCCAACATGGTTCTCTGGGTAGACTGCGTTTAGGTTATGCTGACCCAAACAATGACAACACAATGGCAGCTTCCATCAGACAAACAAACATGGCGGACACTGGCGTGTATTTCCCCAGAGAGACGCTAGAACGGGTGGTTAAAAATTTATACTAAGTTTTTTTCTTTGCTATCCATACGTCACGGCAATAACACTATGTGGATTTTAACAGAAGGAAAACAACAATTAAGCTGTTTCAAGACACTGCTTCACACCTTGTAAATATAAACGTAACTCCTATTAATGGCATTTAGAACTTGGCATGATGAAGAAGAACATGTTTGATGGATTGACCTCTTTACTGGAACGGATGTGACGTTTCGGTACAGATGATAACACTGTTATCAAGCAAGTTAGGATCTTCTTTAACGTTTGATAAAATGTGTTTGCATACATGCATATTTACAAACAAGAGTGAGTGAGTGAGTTTAGTCTTACACCGCACTCAGCAATATTCCAGCTATATGGCGGCGGTCTGTAAATAATCGAGTCTGGACCAGACAATACAGTGATCAACAGCATGAGCATCGATCTGCGCAGTTGGGAACCGATGACATATGCCACCCAAATCAGCGAGCCTGATCACCCGATCCCGTTAGTCGCCTCTTACGACAAGCATGGGTTACTGAAGGCCAATATTCTAACCCGGACCTTCACGGGTTACAAACAAGAAGGTGAATTAGCGTTTAAAGCTTTCGCTCGCTACTCCGAAGACCCGGGTTCGAGTCTCCACATGGGTACAATGTGTAAAGCCAATTTCCGGTGTACCATGCCGTGACAATACTGCTAAAAGCAGCGTAAAGTCATATTCACTCACTTCATCCACACAACGATGTAAAGCACGTGTAGGCGTATGTGTTGCGGTTTGTATCTGCATGGACTTTGTGCTAGCTTAATTATGCTAACCCACTGAGATACCATGATACATTTTAACATCGTTACCACACTCATATACATGAGTCTGTGCTGAATACAGACTGTCTGCGTTTACAAGTCGCGCCATTCGGGGCAGACGCTCTAATCATCTGTTATTTTGCCGTACTTGTATGCAGTATCATGGAGTGTGTTCAAAGGACGGACTACTCCGAATTACCGTAAACCACAGTGATGCACCTGTTTCACTATGTCTGGATAGGGTAAATTGAACCCGTGGTCAAACAGGATAACGCACGCCGTTTTGGACAGTGATCAAATAATATCTCGATGTGCACACTTAATGTGAGTAGCATCCTCGTTTTTCCGTTGAAGACTCATCGTGTGTACCTTTCATACAATGTTAACATGCATTCGTGTACATGCAACCCGCCGACATAATGCTGGACTATTTTCAACGTAGAGTATACCCACATCCACTCATTGACAATATACATAATTTCATACAGTTCTATGAATGGGGTATTGTGTTCACAATGGTCATTCTTGCAAACATGCATATATTGAATGAGACAACCCTCCAGCAAAAAATGACTGTAAAATGATTAAAGTTTGAGGCATGTCGCACATTGTTTGAGGAGGGAACAGCGTTGTTGCAGATGAAAAAGCCACCATGGAGATTTAACGTTACATTCTCTTCGAAATATGAATAGCTATTGTGGTTTTCAAAATATTTTAGCCTAGTGTCAGCAGATACATAATCGACTAGAGTCTTTACCTTTTTCAAACATTTTTAAGAAAAGACAAAGTTGCTCTTTCAATGTTTGACAAGAATTGTTAAACCAATTATATGCATGATGTAACAACACGCTTCAAACATACAGCTGACTTCAAGGGGACAAACGGTCCTCGGGTTATAGCATGATTCCCACGAAGTTCAGTAATATTTCCCCCATGACCATCGGTTGTGTGGAAGTTGAATAAATATGATGTCACATACTTCTGTTCATAAGGACACACGTGTAATGAGACGTGTAATCACTTACACAAATTACACGCTTGACAATGATTATCTCACCACAGTGGACATTGAATTATTGTAAAATGTCATGGTCAAATCGATATCGTTTTCTTATAACTTCATCAACAAAACAAAACTTTGAAATTTGTTTATACCGCCGTTGTTTTCACTGTTTGTCTGATATATTATTCGGCTTTAAAATTATGATGAGGTATCTCAAGAACAGAGTGATTTCATCTGCGAGTCTGGTTCGTATGTTACTACTCTTCGTAATAACTATTGAAAACATAGTCCCCCATAATACCTAGGCAGGGTAGCATAGGCGGATCCAGAATATGTGTGTGTGTGTGTGTGTAGGGGTACCCCCCACACCCCCACACACACACCTTCTCCCTTTTATCCTGAAAATGTATTAAATGACCATTGAAACTTTCATGAAATAATCTGTAAGAAGCTGTATAGAAATGTCACTTGAACAAGCAATATGGTTCTTTGGTGAGATTTGCTCACTTTGTATCCCATAAGATTGTATGTGTATGCTATACTCTTTGGTAAGGGGTTTAAATCAGAATTAGGTATCACAGGCAGTCTGAACAAGAGCTGCTTGCGCTGCAGTGCTCGCCTATCTATGCCCACTAATGTATGTGCATTATGAAAAAAGAAAAACATATTTTGGGGAATATTCCCTTTTATTGCCTTTGTTTTAACGTGACATTACATAATCAGAGATAATCCATCCACACACACATGTATGGATAGATAGATGCATTTATGGATAGATATATTCCTTGTGCTACAATGAAACACAAACCCTAACATATAGATGGATATATTCATTTTCTGTGGTACGGTATTTCAAAGCGTAACAAACAAACATTTTTTATTGTCGATTTACATTAAGGCACTGTTTGAGAGGCATTCTAGAAGTTGTATGCAATAGGAATGACAAGTCTTTATGGATGATCAAGTTTTTTTATTGTACAATGGCTACGTTTCGGTATATAGATACTTATACCGTTTTAAAGCATTAGGTGGTGAATGAGTACAGCAGGATATATATAGGGTACATGAGGGATAACAAAGACAAAAGATGTTTAACACTGAAATCAAGCTCGGTGTATCTCATGTACATTCATGCTTGTTTTCATTGTTAATCATCTTAGGTACAGGGTTGTGAGAGTGAATAATTATATATTCCTCATAAACAGCCAATTATCACATATTTAGTTAAACAGTCAGAAATAACATTTAGAAGTATAATGTACTGTTTGATAGAGGAACTAGCGTTACTTGTAGTTCGGAAATTTAGATGCCAATGTTATTGGTGATAGGTGTTGATACGCAAAATCGGAATGGCACTGGAAGTGTCAGGTGTAAAAGAAGTCACGTGACAAATTTGGGTAAAATACCACGCAGGCCCGCTTTCAAACAATACTTTGAGGAACGAAGATATGACTTTATGGGTAACAACGAATAAGTATTGAAGATGTTAACTAATCGATATGTAATCGTTCAAATACGGTGGGTAGCTCCGTTTATCTGTGTGAAGATGTTTCAGAAAGCAACTAATATTTATATTGTAAATTTTTCCGAATATTTGTTGTCACTCCCTCAAACGGTTTTGGTCCATTCAGATCAATAATGCCTACGACAATAAACATTAGTTAAGATCAGTCAATATCCAGTTAAACGTACTGCTGAGTATTGCGTAACAAAACGCAGCTTTTGAATATGTTGTTGTTCAAAGGGCTTTCAAGGGTGTCGAATTGCGCTATGGATATTTAATTTATGATCATAAAGACACCAACTACAACGTCTTGTAACACACAGCAATATGTCAGCTACATGACGGAAATAGTCGGGACCAGACTATCCAGTGATTGACATGATGAGCCTCGATCTATACAGCTGGGATTGAACATTTAAAAACATAATAAATGTAATACAACGGTTGTAAAGACATGGACAAAACGTTTTCCACAATCATAAGGAAACTTTTCTTTCAAATATCTATTTTACGATATGTAAAGCATAAGCACGTGTTCACTATCACTAAATGGTGACGATGACGGGTTTTCGGCGTGACGAACGAACGATTTAACCACTAGCCGCTACCCCACCGCCCCAGTTTTGATCCGAATTGACACAGGAACATTATACGGTAAAAGCCAAAGTAATCAGATATCAGTTTTGCCACTTATATGTCACATTTGGAAATATTCGTAATAGTTTAGAACACCAATAAAAGTAACACAATGGTGGTAAATATAATCTCTCAAACAAGAAACGCATAGCGAAAATGGCATTTTGATGCAGCAGTGTATTGGTACAGGGAGGTTTTTACAAAAACGTTTGT